TACACGGTCCGAGGCAGTAAGTGTTGATTCTACTAGAAATTTTTGTACTGTAAGTGGAAAATTCTACTGATTTGAATAACTAGAAAAAATTTTAGTGTCTTAATTTTTTTTTTTTCAATTTAATACTGGGTTAAGTACAGAAAATATCAAAAATAGTCATAGTCCCTTCACCTATTGTAATGTTGTACAATTAAAATAGCACTGGATAGAAAAATTGAAGAACAGGTAAGGGTGATAGTTGAACAATATGACAAACATAATTAATGTTACTGAACTATATCTATGATTATTGTTGAAATGGCAAATGTTTTGTTATATATTTGCCATAATTTACAAAACATCAGAAGAGGGTGCACACACACAGCTCTGAACTAGGACTCAGAAGACCTGGATGTCTTTGTTTTGTCTGTGATGTGAGATCCTAAGCAGATCTCCTCTAATTCTCCTTTCTCTGTAAATGGGGGAAATATTTGTACTGCTTGAGATAGAAATTAATGGATTTTGTATATCTAAGGAAGCGTGATGGTACAGTAGTTAAATACTCAGCTACTAACTAAAGAGTGGCTCAAAGTCACTAGCCGCTGGGTGGGAAAAAAGAAGAGGCAGTCTGCTTCCATAAAGATTACAGCCTTTTACTGCTGTCGAGTCGAATCCAACTCATAGCGACCCCTCCTTGGGTTTCCGAGGCAATATAAGAAATTTAAATATTTTAAAAAGAAGAGAAAAAAAATTACAGCCTTGGAAACTCTATGGGGTAGTTCTACTCTGTCTTACAGGGTTACTGTGAGTTGGAATCGACTCAATGGCAATGGGTTTTGTATGTCTTTTAATATAATATAATGGATATAATGGATTTTATATTTTAGGATTTAGAAGACGAGAGTTTTCTCATTCCCATTCAATTAAATAGAACTGACATTAATAATATCTTAAAACTTAAACTACCTTTTACATTTTGTATGAAAGAATTAGAAAAACAATCTTTTGAAACCGTTTGAAAATTTCTCTTTTTTTATTTAACCCTTAGGTCCTGAAGTAGGAGCATCTCCACAGAGTGGAAGAAAAAGTGTAGCAGCTGAAGGAGCCTTGCTACCACAGACACCTCCATCCCCACGGAATCTGATTCCACATGGCCATAGGAAGTGCCATAGCTTGGGTTATAAGTTAGCAATTTTTAATTTTATCTTCCATAGTCTTAAGTTATTTATAATTTAGTTTATGTTCTATTTACTTTATTAGGGTCTTTGCATAATTTTCTTGTATAAAGAGAGTCTTACTATGATTCTGTAAAATACCTTGTTTGCCTAAAAGTATTTATTTATTCCTTTACCTGAATTTGGAAATGAGCTTTTCCAACAGTATCTTCACAGTTAGGAAGATATATGAACATTACAGAGAGCTATCATAAGTAAATCTGGAAAGCAATGTGCCATTTTCCTTTTAAATTATAATCTTTATATCAAGACAGTCATTACTTATCTTAACCAAAATAAGTCATAAAAACTTAAGGTGTGTAAAAGTGTTCTCTTCATTCCTAAGCATAAAGAAAAACAAACTGTTTTTTTCTTTATTTTTAAAATATTTTCTATTTACATAAGATAGATATGGCCCTAAAACGGTTTCCCTAAACTTTCAGTTTAAGGCTTTCCTGGTAAAATCTGTGTCTTCATCAGTTTGAGAATTCAGACATAAGTTCAGTGTAGCATATAAATCTTTTATATCCTGAATCTTTATATAAAAGTATCTTTTATATCTGGAATTAGTAACAATGATGAAAAATATTAAATATATTTCTCTTTGTTTCAGTTTCATTCATAAAATGAACACAGCAGAGTTTAAGAGTGCAACGTTCCCAAATGCAGGGCCAAGACATCTGTTAGATGATAGTGTAATGGAGCCCCACGCACCATCTCGAGGCCAAGCTGAAAGTTCTACTCTTTCTAGTGGAATATCAATAGGTGAGAAATACCAATATGAGGGGGGTTCCATCTTACATAAAATGAGATTTTTAACGAAGCTTAGCTGAAAAATTTGATAAAAGCAAAGTAGCAATTAGATACAGGATCATCTTACTTATAGCTGCTGATACTGATAATTCATGATGGTTTTAAAAAGTTATTGATGTTTTTGAGTCATTAAGGGAATGCATTTGAGGAATAGTGGGAAAAGAACATAGACTGATTAAATTGGTTAACTGTATTATTTGAATGTATGAATGAGAAAAAAGGAGTCAAGTGTGATCCATGGCTTTGCTTTTGTTTTAATTAAGCAGCTAGATAGATGGTGATGTGATTTGCCAAGGTAGAAGAGACTAGAAGAGTATTCATTTGGAAGCATGTAAAGAGTGACAAGGCTAGGGAGTCAAGAGTTCTGTTTTGTACATGTTTAGTTCGTGTGGAGATGTCAGGTAGGTAGTTGGATGTATGAATATATAGCCCAGTGGACTAAGGTCTAGAGTGAAGATAAAAATAGGGGATGCTATTAGTCAGAATCAACTCAATAGCAATGGGTATATGTATATATATAGATAGATAGATAGTATTTCAAGCCGTGGGCCTGGCTGAAGTTATGTAAGGGAGAAAGTGTAAATAAATTAGAAGAAAACATTGTAATATTTAGAAATCAAATTAAATTGTTTAAAAAAAAAAAAAAAAAAAACATGAACCATCAAAGGACATTAAGGAGGGTCTGGTGAAATTTGAGAAAACTCCAGAGTGTGTAGATTTCACAGAAGACCAGTAGAAGTATTTCAAGGAGGAGGGAAGTGTTGATGAAGCAAATGTGAACCAAGAGAAGTAAAATGAATATGGTGAATGGACCTGTGGATTTGTCAAGATAAAAGTCATTGATGACCTTGACAAAAGTTGCTTCATAGAATAGTGAGGATAAAGCCCTGATTGGACTAGCTTTGAAAATGAGAGGTGTGGAATAGAGAAGCTGCTGCGAAGGGAGCCAAAAATTGGGCTGTATAAAGTGATGTAAGGTTAATAGAGAGGTTTGTTTGTTTTACTTCCGAAACTTTTTTTATTTGCTAAATCTTCTAGATGAGCACTGTTTAGAAAATACCTATACAAGCTATTTTTATTTTTAAAAAGAAAGAAAAGAGAAAAATACCTTCCTCTGTGATTAAGTTCCACACTGCTCAAGGTCTAAGCTTACTAAGGTTCGTTAATGTGATCATCCCAATATTGGCAAACAATCTAATAGATCCAAAAGAAAATTCATTTTCCTAAACATATTGATTCCCTTTACTCTTAAGAGTTCCAAACCCTGAAAATGAAATTGCTCTCCAGCTCTTCCACCTCATTCAGCAGTTGTTTATCCTGATGTTCCCCTTTTCATAAATGCAAATAATTAATTGATGACAATAAGGGTTTTAAAAAATTACCTGAAATACATCTCCATTAATGTAGTAATTGCGTGTGTATAATTATCAACCTCAACCTAAAAAATAATATGTTGTTGTTGTTGTTGTTATTTGCCATCGAGTCGGCCCCGACTCATAGCGACCCCTCCTTGGGTTTCCAAGGCAGTATCACTACGGAAGTAGGAATGCCCAACCTTCCTTCCGAGGAGTGGGTGGTGGGTTTGAACCACTAGCAGTCAAGTGCCTTAGGCACTATGCTACCAGACCTCCTAAAAAATAATATAGAGAAGAATTTTTCAAAAGAGAAAGGAAGTGCTTTTTTGCTTTTTTTCAATTAAAAATTGGTTGTACTTATGGAATCAGATATGTTACTTAACACAAAAAACAAAAATTTCTTTATAATTACAACTCTCAGTTAAGTATGTGGTATTTGGCTTTCCCTTCATAATAACCGTTATCTAATGGTAATTACTATTCTTTAAATGTGCTTTTAGTACCAGAATACCTGGTTACCTAGTTAACATTGTGAAGAATGGAAATTCCAGAACATTTTATTGTGCTCGTGAGGAACCTACATAGACCAAGAGGGTATCATTCAAATAGAACAAGAGGTTTACTGCATGGTTTAAAAGCAGGAAGGGCATGCATCAGGGTTGTATCCTTTCACCATACTTACTCAATCTGCATGCTGAGCAAATAAACCAAGAAGCTGAACTATATGAAGAAGAATGTAGCATCAGGACTAGAAGAAGACTCATTAACAACCTGCAGTATGCAGATGACACCACCTTGCTTGCTGAAAATGAACATGTCTTGAAGCACTTACTGGTAAAGATCAAAGACTCTAGTCTTCACTACGGATTACACTGCAACATAAAACAAAAATCCTCACAACTGGGCCAATAAGCAACTTTCACAATAAATGGAGAAAAGATTGAAGTTGTCAAAGATTTCATTTTACTTGGCTCCACAGTCAACACCCGTGGAAGCAGTAGTCAAGAAATCAGACGTCAGAACTATACAGTTTCTCAAGGAAAATTTAGGCTCAAACTTAAGGGCCCTAATATTTGGTATAAATAGACTACCAAGCATAATTCAAAATGCAC